TGCTCTGACAGGGGCGGGAGTGTCGGGAATGCTCGGTGGGCTTGGGGATCTGGTGGCCGCGGTATGCAGAGTGGGCGGTTCGAGTCTGGACGGGCGGCAGTTCCCGGGGACTCTGGGCAGGCCTTGGGATCTGGCGGTCGCGCTATGCAGAGTGGGCGGGTCGGGTCTGGAGGGGCGGGAGTCACGGGGACGCACGGCGGACCTGGGGATCTGGCGGCCGCGGTATGCGGGGAGGGAGGGCCGGGCTGTCTGTCCTTAAAATCTCACGACCTCTACCTGTCGGGTGGAGCCATTGTTCTCTGTTCGTTGATGTTGTGTTCGTGATGTTGAGTTCGCTCTAGTATGTTACGACCAGCTCTGCCATGGCATCTCTTTAGAGTGAAGTAATAGTCTGTGGTGTTCTATCAAGCTCGCTGCCGCAGGGGCAGCGATAGTCTGATAATTATGTCATGATGATGTTTACACTGTGATCTCTTGACCATGCGGTCACAGGTTCTGCTGTGGCATGATACTCCTTTGCAATATGCTAACGTGTGTAATGCTGTAGTACATCCACTGGAGCCGCTGTAGCAATGATAAATCATGCACTGGATGCCATGTGATGATATGGTTTGATATCCTGTACTGTGCTCCGCTGTGTCATGGTATACGTTGTTATGGTACGTCATGGTCGATGATGTGTTGCGTCATGCTGGCCGTTATGACATGGTATGGTTGGTGTGTTGTGGTACGTTGCGTGTTGCTAGTGAATAATATGTGATGTCGTGATATTGTATGGTGTGTGTGTTGCCATGGTTTGTAATGCTGGGCACTGTGCATCTGCTTAATGGAAGGATGCCGTATGTTATGTGATGGTATGAGGTGTTACACCATACCATGGTACGTTATAGTGCGTTATGCTACGTTACGATGTGTGGTGCTATGCTATGTACGTTTCGCGTTGGCGTGGTATGCGTTGCTATGGTGTACTATGGTATGCGGTGATACGGCATGTTATGGTATGGTACATCATATGGTATGGTATGGTATTGTATGCTATGGTATGTCATGTTATGTGTTGTGTTATGTTATGTTGGTGTGCAATGCCTTATGCCTCGCTCTGTCACTACGTGGTGTGCCCTGATGTGGAATGGTATGTTCGGTATGGTGCGCTACGCTATGTTGTAACATGTTATGCTGTGTTGCGATGTTTGGTGGAATACTAAGTTCTGTCAGGCCATGTCGAGTTCATCGAAGGCGCAAAGCGGGACTCTTCGGGGGATTCTCGGTGGACCTGGGGATTTGGCGGCCGCGGTATGCAGGAGTTGGCGGGTCGGCGCGAGGCGGGAAACTCGGGGGGTTCTCGGTTGACCTGGGGATTGGCGGCCACGGTCTGCAGAAATGGGCGGGTCGGCGCGAGGCGGGAGTCTCGGGGGACTCGGTGCACCAGGGGATCTGGCGGCCGCGGTATGCAGGGTGAGAGGGCCGGGAGGTCTGTTGGTGGGGAACAAACGCACAAACCGAAAGCGTTCCAGGACATTTTGTGCGGAGCAATCGCATGTACGCGTGAGCGGCGAGCGACAAGAACAGAGGCGACCATGGGGTGAGGGGAGAGTTGCACCCCATAACAAGTACAGGCCTTTCGTTGAAGGTAAGCACGCTTGGCTGCCAGATCCCAATCTGTACGAGGCGCCCTCCTGCCTCAGCAGTCGCTAGCTTCCTCCCCTTAACCACCAACTACCTGGGCTGTGCGACACCCACTGTATCTGCCATTGGCTCCCGCTCAGGGATTCCACCGCCCGGGGGAGGAGGAGGAGGAGGAGGAGGAAGAGGACCAGCGTACACCTGAGAGTCATCAACGATGTTGGAGTTAACCCTCCCTCCAAGCTTCCTCTTCATAGGCCCCTACAACGGTTCATTTCCATTGGTGGAACTGCCTCGTTGGAAGACACCCGTTTGCAGACCCTGAAGCAAGCCACAACATTGTTTTCGGGATTCCAACGCCACGGATCAACGTGACTGTTGCGTCTTGACAATCCTGAGTCGTGCCAGAACGCTATTCCTATGTTTTGAACACAGAGGATAACGTAACTGTTGCACCTGCGTTACCGTGAACCCCTCCAAAACATTGGTTCTGGTGCGCTGGTGATGGGAATCCGTGAAACTCTTGAACATATTGTAAACGAATGTGCGCGGCGTTAAGGCGAGAGTCGCATTTTGAAAAGGAACCGCCCTCAATCTGTGAAGCTCTTGCAAATATTTGAAACAAATTTGCGCCGCGCTAAGGCAAGAGCCACATGTTGAAAACCACTCGCCCTCAATCCGTGAAGCTCGTGCAAAGGTTTGAAACGAATGTGCGCCGAGCTAAGGCAAGAACCACAGTTTGAAAACCACCCGCCCTCAATCCGTGTAGCGCTTGCAAAGTTTGAAAACGAATGTGCGCCGCGCTAAGGCGAGAGCTGCATTTTGAAAACCACACGCCCTCAATTCGTAAAGCTTTCGTAAACCTGCCAAACTAATGAGCGCCGCGCTAACGCGAGAACCACATTTTGAAAACCACCCGCCCTCAATCCGTGAAGCGCTTGCAAAGTTGTAAAACGAATGTGCGCCGCGCTAAGGCGAGAACGACATTCTGAAAACCACCCGCCCTCCATCTGTGAAACTGTTGCCAAGTTTTAAGCTTCAGAGTCATAAATGGTGGGGAAGTCTCAGGTGAAACCCCCAGCCCGCCCTAAAAAAAGGTGCGACAGGGAGAAGTGAAGTATAAGGGAAAGGAATGGAGGAGGAGGAGGAGGAGGAGGACGAGAAGGAGGAGGAGGAGGAGGAGGAGGAGGAGGGGGAGGAGGAGGAGGGGAGGAGGAGGAGGAGAAGGAGGACGAGGAGGAGGGGAGGAGGAGGAGGAGGAAGGAGGAGGAGAGGAAGAGGAGGAGGAGGAGAGGACGAGGAGGGGAGGAGGAGGAGGAGGAGGGGAGGGGGGAGGAGTGGGAGGCGGAGGAGGAGGACCAGGAGGAGGAGGAGGAGGGGAAGGGGGAGGAGCAGGAGGAACAGGAGGAGGAGGAGGAGTTCTTGCGACCGACTCGTCATCGTGGAAGAGGAGTGGTGAGGCCACCCGCCGGGGCGCGAAGTGTCACTGCGCTTCGCGCGCTGCGGCCTGGACTGGAGAGTTGTCCTTCTCTCCAGCAGGGGTGCGGAGCGAGGGCGCGGAGGGAAGCGCACGTCGCGCATCGGCCAGCTGGCCGGAGAGGGGGAGGGGGAGGGGAGGAGGAGGGAGGAGCAGGAAGAGCAGGAGGAACAGGAGGATGAGGGGGCGGAGGAACAGGGCTGAAAAGAAAGAAAGAGCGAGAGAGAGAGAGAGAGACAGAGATCACACAAACAACGACAACAACATGGATGACAAGGAGGGGAAGGAGCATCAGCAGCAGGAGAAGAGGAGGAAGACGGAGAGGAGGAGGAGGAGGAGGAGGAGGAACAGGAGGAGGAACAGAAGGGCGAAGTAAGAGGAGGGAGACGAACGAGGAGGCGGAGCAGGAGCAGGAGGAACAGGAGGAGGAGGAACAGGAGGGAGAGAGAGAGAGAGAGATAGAAAGAGAGAGAGAGAGAGAGCGCGAGACATAGTCAGAGGGAGAGTAAGAGAGAGAGAGAGAGAGAGAACAAACAAAAACTAAAGAGAGAGAGGGAGAGAGAGAGAGAGAGAGAGAGAGATCAACCATAGGTAACTACGATTGCATGGAGGAAGCGGAGCAGCCGCAGCAGCAGAAGGAGGAGGAAGAGGAAGACGGGGAGGGGGAGGAGGAGGAGGAGGAGGAGGAGGAGGAGGAAGAGGCGGAGGAGGAGGAGGAGAAGGAGGAAGAGGCGGAGGAGGAGGACCAGTGCAACCCCAAGGCTCATCGACGATGTTGGGATACACCCTCCCTCCAAGATCCGTCTTTACAGGCCCGATACAGGGATCCATTTCCACTGAGGGGCGTGCCCCGTTGGGGGACAACCGTGCGAAAATCCTGAAACCTGCCACAAAATTATTTGGGCTCCACCGCCACGAATCGACCTGACTGTTGTGTCTTGGCGGTCCTGAAGCGCACCAGAACACCATTCCTCGGACTTCAACCGCGAATGAACGTAACTGTTGCGCCCTGACAATCCTGAATCGTGAGGTTAACCATAAGAACCCGCGAAACTCTTGCAAATGTTTAAAACGAGTGTGTGCGGCGCTAAGGCGAGAGCCACATGTTGAAAAGGCACCGCTCTCAATTCGCAATATTCTGGCAAGTGTTTAAAACGAATGTGCGCGGCGCTGAGGCGGGAGCCACATTCTGAAATCACCCGCCCTCAATCCGTTTGTGAAAATCTGTA